CTGTCCTCACTGGTACCCAGTGCTGGGTGTCCGACCCCATTCTTCTTTGGTGGATTCCTTGACTTTGGTTTCTTGACAGGTCGAATCTGATAAGGTTTAAGGTAATTGTAATGGACAATTTCTTCTTTAGTTCCATTATTCCTTCTCACCACATAAGATGTTTTGGTTACCGACGTGGGCTTTACCACGACATAGGGTCCCGTCCACCGATCTGCAAATGTTTTTGCTCGTAAATTTCTTTTCCAAACTTGTTGACCCACCCCCAACGATTTAAACGAAGTTTTACTGTTGTACCGTTCTCTGCGTTTTTCCGCTAACTTGGCATCGGACTCTTGTGCTTTTTGGAATACCTCACTAACAGTCTCGCGCAGTCGTTCCGTTTTCTCTCTAACCGTTGCTGGTGATATCTTCTCTGTTATAATTTCGAATTTTGATCGCGGGTGCTCCTTGAAAACTAGTTCGTACGGCGAAACTCCTGTACTTGTATGAACTGCCGTGTTGTATGCTAGTTGTACGTTAGGTAGGTGTTGAGACCATCGGTTGGGATGTTTATCTACCAATTTTGTGAGTGCTTCCCCCATCGTACGAGTAATCCGTTCTACACCCGCGTTTCCTTGTGGCCTATAGGGTGGACTGAAAGTATGCTCAATGCCTTGGGTTATGCAAAACTGTTCAAATGTTTCGCTTATGAAACAAGGTCCATTGTCAGAGTGCACTTTGTTTGGTAAACCATATCTTGATATCCAACCCATGAGTGTCTTACAAACAACTTGACTGGTTTGTCCTCGAATTGGATGCATCTCTGCATATTTTGTACATGGATCTGTTATCACAACAATATTGTCAAATCCCTCTTTCGTTCTCGGTAATGGACCCTTGAGATCTACTTCTATCAACGCAAATGGTTTCTCTTCTTTTGGTCGTTGATGAATGGGTGCTTTTCTATGTCCCTGGGCAAGAGTAGCAGCACAGCGTTGGCACGTTTTTGCATAGTTCTCTACTTCTGCTTTCATCTTTGGCCACCAATAATGAGGTTCAATTCTTGCAAGCATTTTATCTGCTCCTTGGTGTCGTGTTTCGTCATGAGCTAATGATAATATGGTGGGCCGAACAAGCGATGCTGGAAGTAACACTTGCTTCTTATGATCTCGTGTGAATAAACCATGTTCGTTTCGGTGAGTGGAAATATGTGGCTTAAGGGTTGGGTCACGTTCTTGCGCAATTGGAAATCATTTATGTCCAACTTTACATCCTTGCATGGACCAATCTCGTCTTGAGAGCCACCAATAGTAGCCACTTTACTAGTATCCTCATCTCTCTCTTCCCACTTGACATTCCATCAGATCCGACTAAGAGCATCTGCCATGTGATTATCCTCCCCTCGAATAAACTCTATGCGTGGTTCGAATTCTGCTATATCTCTCATCAATGTCGCTCTTCGTCCAAATGGATCTTTCTGTTCCAGGATCTTTAGAAGAGTTTGTGGTCGGTCCTCATCACTACTTGTGCTCCTAACAGATAATACCGAAAATGCTTAAGCGTGTCTCGCATAGCCATCACTTCTCTGTCATAAGTTGGATATGAACGTTCTCGTTTGGTCAATGCACGACTGAAATATGCAACCGGATGTAATTGTCCTTGTGCATCTTCTTGTGATAGTTCACCACCCAGACCCACTTTACTTGCATCCGTGGTAACAACAAAGGGTCGAGTGGGGTCAGGATGGGCTAATACTGGAGCTTTAACCAACTCATGTCTTAGTGTATTGAATGCATCATCTTGCTCCTTACCCCAAGTGAATGTGACATCTTTCTCCAAAAGCCATGTTAATGGTCGAGCAATTGTACTAAAATCCTTGATAAACTTCCGATACCACCCAACTGCACCCAAAAACATTTGCACCTCTTTAAGACAAGTTGGTGCAACCCATGCACGAATTGCCTTTACTTTATGTTCCTCTGGCTGCACACCCTTGTTGCAAACTTTGTGTCCAAGAAATTTCACTTCTTTCATTGCGAAAGCACATTTCTTAGCTTTAACTCGTAATCCATGCTGTCGCAATGCATCAAATACTCCCTGGAGATTTACCAAATGTTCCTCAAACGTTTTGCTAATAATACAGATATCATCCATGTACAATGCCAACCGATGTGGTGGAATGTGTCCTAGAACCTTCTGCATCAACCGAGAAAAAGTTGCCGGACTTCCTTTTAAACCATATGGCATTCTTGTCCATTCCCAAAACCCAGTAGGTGATCGAAACGCTGTCTTTGGTCGATCTTCCTTGGCCAGTGGGACCTGCAAATAACCTTGGGCCAAGTCAATAACACTAAAATAGTTAGCACCTGATAGATTGTCTAGAACCTTTTGCAAATTTCCAGTTGGATATGGGTCATTCTGGGTAATTTTGTTAAGTGGTCTGTAGTCTACACACAATCGAACTGTTTTATCTGGTTTCAATACAGGTACAATTGGAAATGCCCAAGGGGACTTAGAGGGTGTCAAATGTCCCGACTTTACATGGTTTCCTACTGCTTCATTAATTTTTTGTGTTAACCCCAGGTTGTGTCGTCTGGGGTGGCACACAATTGGATCAGATACGGCTGTGGGTATTGTGTGCTCTATTGTTGTGGTGAACCCACTGTTTCCTGGGTAGTCGAAAACTTGTGTATTTTTTCGAATTAAAACTTCTAGGTTTTCTCTTTGTTGTGTTGTCAATTGTTCACCAACTGATACTTCTGGAACTGGGTCATATTGTGATGATGGATTATTTCCCCCCATATTTGACTCTGAAATATGTCCTATGTTTTGGGTACTTGGCAGTTCCTGAATTGTGGCCGCAGTTTGTTCTCTATAAACTCTGATTGATTTATCAGTGGTATTTAGTACGCATATGGGGATTTTACTTTCATCGTTCATCATTTCTGCCGAAATCTTTATCGGGGCTGTAAGAAGCCCAGTTCTCTGCTGAAAATGTTCCGTACCTTCGATATACGAATCTCTAGTAAATTTTTCATTCTTATTTTCCAATTTACCCCAAATGAATATTTCTTCAAATGGCTTAATATCACGACTTTCCGCAACTCGTATGTAGCAACACTTTAGCATTTCCTGAGGGGTATCTACTTCCGGTTGTAACACAGGTTGGGCCCCATCTATTGTTGCCAATTTTTTTCCTGTGTTCAACGATACACCCAATTTTCCCAAAGAGTCCAAGCCCAGAATCCCGTTTTGAACACCACTTACCACAAAAAAACTCAATATACAACTATTTGTCCCTACCGTAACTGATGTTTGAACCACACCTCTGCATTCTGCGTGTGTCCCATTAGCCATCTCTACGTGACGTGTAGTTGGTTGAATTTTCATGTAATGTTCTTGTGCTAACGCCGTTGGAATAACTGAAACCTCTGCTCCAGAATCACAAATAAACTCATGCTTGAACTCTCTGCTTCCAGACTGAACAACTGTACCAGTTAGTGTAATAAATTTCTTCGCGGCTGAGAACGAATTTATTTTTGCTGACGATTGTTCCCAGCCGCCTTGGAGTTTAAAGACGGCGAAGGGCGAGGGCTTGTAGCATGGCAAGATGGTGCTGTATGGCCCTTTTGCCAGCAGCGTTGACAAAGATCTTTAAATGGACAGTCTCTCCGAAAATGTTCAGGCGACTGGCAGTGGAAACACGCTTGATTTTTACCGGTTTTGGCGGGAAATTTCCTAGGTTTTGGCGGGAAATTTCTCTTTCCAACGAACCCGACCGTACGTTTTGTTTCGTCCTCCGTTTCCCGACTTCCATCGTTTTCTTTGGATAGGGCGGCTGCTACCTCTTCTCTGATTATCTTTCTTAACGATATTTCGTCTGCTTCCCCTGTCGTTTTGAAATTGTTTACTTCGAGGTTTACTTTTGGCGCTGTTGTTTTATAAATTAGCTCGAGCCGATCTAATTCTTCAGAAAGTTGTGTTAAATTTAAATCTCGTTGTTTACTGTCGCTCTTTATCTTTCGACTCATTGCATTGTCAATAGCTCCCAAAAAGGTATCATGTAACATTTGTTCCTTTGTTTTCTTTGCCGATCCGTGTGTTGACGCGCATAACTCCGGGTAAGCCTTCGCCATCAACTTTTCGATTCTCCACGCTAACTGTGCTGGTGTTTCACCGCCTTTCGCCTTAAACCTCGTAATTCGTCGACAGCTTTCTCGTGGTCGATCGATTCTTTGTCGAATTCCTTCCTTAAAGCGGCTTTAACTTCCTTTGGGTCATCTTGAAGTTCATCGTCTAATCTCGCAATACATAGAAACGCCGCCCCCTCGAGTTTACTCGCTATGGCGTGAGCTTCTTGTTTACCTTCAAATTTCTTTGTAGAACAATAGAACTTCATTTTCATAAGCCACAAATCTACATCTCCCGTACCGTCATAACAGGCTTGTTTTATTTCTGCCATTTCCGACAATTTAAAGCGAGAATCACCGCTGCCACCACTGTAAATTTATATATTGTCTTCCCCGAACACATGTACAATAACAATAGTCTTAGTCTTTCAGTTAATTATTACCCCCGAAGGTCCATGCCTAATAGCCTGCAAACAGGCTTGCTATTTACGAGTATCATTTCAATGTAACTAATAAATGTCAATATCACAAGATCAGATTGTAGGACTGAAACTTCATTTTTCTTTAAGGACTCCGATATTGTTACGTTATCCACGTATTTCCAATGGTCAGTGCTAGAGGATGCCAGTTCAGTTCAAGATCGTTGATCATAATTATGAACAAAATAGGGCCCAATTTGGTTCCTTGAGGGACACCTGCGTTATTGATGCCCCAATCAGATTGGAAATTGTCGATCTTTACCGATTGACGGCGATTTGAGAGAAAGCTGCATATCCATGGAATTAGCGACAATCTGACGCCAAGGGCCAGCAACTTTGGGACCAGGATATTATGGTCGATGCGGTCGAACGCTTTACTGAAATCGAGGAAAACGATCCGCAGATAGCTCGATATCCAATGTTCTCAGCCAATTGTTGATCATATCGATCAAGCAAAACGTTGTAGAGGTTCCTTTAAGGTAACCAAATTGTTGCGGGTTGATTTTATGTTTCACGTCAACCACCATCCAATTGACCACAAAGTCCTCAAGAATTTTGGACAAAGAGGCTGTAAGGGAGATTGGGCGCAACTCCTCCTCACAGAATACGGATGGCGCTTTAGGAATTGGTGCAATTAATGCATCTTTCCATATGTTAGGGAATTCACCAGTGGACAGAGATGTATTAAAGATGTGACATACAGGTTCGGCCAATTCGTACGCGAAATCCTTAATAATTCGGTTAGGAATATTGTCAGGACCGCTGGATTTGAAAACGTTTGTATTGAGCATCTTAGTGCAAACTTCGTCAGAGAAAATTTTTGGTACAGGCCTTGGTGCAGGAAGAAAGGCAGGTAGCAGGAGAGGATTCAGTAGTGGTAGGTCATTACTCACGCTTAAGAAATAGGTGTTAAGTGATTGGGCGAGATCTTTACCAGATAGAGTGGTACCATTCTTAACGATCTTAATGTTATTGGTTGCAGATCTTTTTTTCCCGGACATCTGGTTAACACATTCCCACCATTTTCTGGAGTCACTGGATTTTAGGTGTTGTACCTTGTTCGTATAATATGCACGCTTTTTCACTCCTATGTCTATGTTTATATTATAAAGACCAATTTAGTGGAAACTCTAGTGTTCAGAAAGATGCAGTCATCTTTTTCTGACAGGTTAAGAAGATGCAGTTATCTTTGCCATCCTATTATGCATGATCATTCATGTATATGAAATTGCGGTTGCAGCTACATACGGTAGCTATATATAGGTCTGTATTATAGTTATAATTCAACAAGCCTTATTTCTGCGCGAATTTACTGCCTAGAACTGGCCAACCAAATATAATGTATAGCTATATATCAAGAGACTGCAAACATTCAGTACACGAAATCTTTTTGTTTTAAAATCTAGAAAAGTCCTAAAATCTAGAAAAGTCCATCGAAAGTCTGTTAGCTAGCAAGAATGAACATATGAATGATATTAATAAAACTAAAGATATGCCAACTAACGAGGGAGCTAGCAAGGATAAGAATACGAGTGATATTGAAAAAACCGAAGATACATCAACTAAAGAGGGTAATCCTGTGAAGGTTTCAAATCGACATCTTGATTTTAGTAACAGTATTATTCATGAAGCCCAAAGTTCAAAGGAAGAAACGAACACAAACTTGTCAACAAGTGTAAATTTGCATAAAGAACCAATGAATTTGCATAGAGTGCCTCATTCCTATATTCCTTTGGGAGACCCGAACAAAAACTATAATCCGGAGTTTGAAATTGGAGCATTGAAATTTAAGCTGGAGAGCTTTGCTGAGAACGTCGACAGCAAATTTCAAGCTCTTACAAAAGAAGTGGCTGACATTAAAGAAAATAAAGTTTATTCGATTATAATTCTCGAGAACACTGTCCATGAATTAAAGAAAGAGAAATATGACCTAATCAAAGCTAACAACGACTTAAGAGAGAAGAACGAAGTATTACATCAAAAAATTTCGGATTTTAATTCGACAGTACAAAGATTGGAAGATGAGAAGCAGAGTCTAATCACAACCCTAAAGCTAGTTCAAAAGGAAACTCAAACTGTTCAGCCGGATTTGAATGACAGAATGCAAAACCTTGAAAACGAAAATAAGAGCTTATCAACGGCATTAACACTCTTGCAACACGAATTAGATAATACTCAACAACATAAATGGAAAGTTGTAAAGACGAAGTATAATAAACCACCTCCAGAGACCCCAGCAGGATCAAATACTATTGAAACAAAAAATCAATATACAACACTTAGGGTCACTGATTCTGAACATGACGATATTGCAGCAAGACTGAAAACCCAACAGATTCTAGATGAAACTTCGAATACAACCAAACACAGCAACATACAGATGGTTGGAAAAAGCAGTGGTCCATCAAATTCTAATGAGTCAAGTCGTGACTCACAACGTAGTCAACCTAGAATAGCTATCCTCGGAGATTCGATGATTAAACATTTGGACACCAAACGAATGCAGAATGGATTGAAGAAAGGAAAAGTAACGATTAAGACATTTCCTGGTGCAGGTATTAACCAAATGAAGCATTATGCAGTACCAACTCTAATTACCAAGCCAAAGACACTTATATTTCATGTTGGAACCAACGACTTACATAACAAAACACCAGAAGATCTAATAAATGCAATGAATGATCTTGGTGAAACAATCCATAGACAGAACAACGATCTGGAACTTATATGGTCGGAAATAATAACTCGAACTGATGATCCAAACTTAGCAGAAAAGGTAAATGTAGTCAATGCCGAGCTCGCTAAATTATGTACAGATAAGGGCTGGGGACTTATTAAACACAACAACATTAAAGGAAGTCTTCTAAATAACTCTGGTCTACATTTAAATAAACATGCATGGAACTACTACATTAGCTAAAAACATAAGACAATTTCTTAGCAGCCATTGACTAGATCCTGAGTTTTCAAACACTACGGATCCTGATCGATTCAACATTTTTGCATATCGTAGATCAAATAAACACACAGTCTAGTTCACGACAAACAATGCAAATAAACAGCACGCCTTATCCAAAACTGAAAGGCTTTAAAATTGGCCATCTAAACGTTGCAAGTCTATATAAGCATGTTGATGAACTAAGAATTTTTATGAACGATAAAATGTTTGACATATTAAGTATCAATGAAACTAGACTTGACGGCACTATTGACAACAACGAAGTTAATATCACAGGTTATGATCTTGTTCGGAAAGACCGAAATCGAAATGGTGGGGGTGTCGCAATTTATATACGAAATGTTATTCCCTACACTATTTGCAATCACTTACTTTCAAGTACAGTAGAAGCTATTTGTATTGAAATTAACAAGCCTAACAGCAAACCTCTACTGATCTCAACATGGTATCGTCCTCCCGATGCCAAGATAGAATTACTTGTCCATTTTGAAAAATTTTTACAGAACATTGATGAAGAGGACAAAGATTTTGTTATAACTGGTGATTTTAATTGCAATTTTCTGTCAACTGAAAATAATAACCAACATACAAACAAATTGTTGAGTTAATAAATGAATACCAACTACAACAGTTAATCACTAGCCCGACAAGAATTGCTCGTAGAACTAAAACTCTATTAGACATTATTATCACAAAAATAGGCGACACAAAAATCATTGAATCAGGGGTCATTCACCTCGGAATTAGTGACCACAGCCTGGTTTATGCGTGCAGAAAGGTTAGTATTCCAAAAGCAAAACCTAAAGTAGTAGAAACAAGACAATTCAAGCACTTTAACATTAACAATTTCCAGCAAGACCCTTAAGCAAGCACTTAACTCAACTTTGTTTTACAATTGCACTGATGCAAATACTGCCTGGTGCACATGGAAGGAAATATTTTTGGAAATTGCTGACATTCATGCCCCATTACTAAAAAGAAAGGTAAAAAGTGAATATAACCCTTGGATGACAAACGAAATTAAGAATATGAGCTATCATAGAGATTTTCTAAAGAGAAAAGCAATTAAACATAATTCGACAAGATATCATGAACTATACAAGAATTGCAGAAATCGTGTTAACAATCTTATTAAAGATACTAAAGCTATATACTTTAAGAACAAGCTAGAAAGTACTACGAACAGTAAGGAAGGATGGAGAACAATCAATTTACTATTGAACACATTTCACTTACTGCTCAACAGTTTGGCACAACGGAAATATCACCCACATTGACAAATTAAGTAAATTACAAAAAAGAGCAGCACGTGTTATCACTAACTCAGGGTATGAAATAAGATCAACAGATATCTTAAATAGATTGAATTGGGAGCCCATTGCAAATATCCTCAAACAACGTGAACAAACAATGACATTTAAAGCAATTAACAAAATGACACCAAAATATTTAACAGAAATGTTTACTATGTCCCAGAACGACAATTATGCATTGAGAAGTAACGAACGAAAACTTCACTTATCAAAACCAAACACTAACTTCCTTAAGAAAAGGTTTTCCTACCGCGCAGCAGTGTCATGGAATAAACTTCCAAACGAAATTCTCGAGGAACATGAGCATCTTTCATTGAATCAGTTCAAAAGGCTTATTAAAAATTGCTAAGATAGTGAAATTTTCCCGAAATTTTATCGAATGTTTACTTGCATTGTAAGGTCGTTATGCATGTTATACTTCAATTTGAATTAATGTTAGTGTGTTATACTTTAGGTTTAGATTTAGTTTTATATCTTTTTAATAATTTTAGACCACGGCCCTTTGAAAACCAGGCAACTGAAAGGTTACCGTGGATAAATATGTTTAAATAATAATAATAATAATAATAATAATAATAATAATAATAATAATAATAATAATAATAATAATAATAATCAGTTTGCGAACGCCAAAGCTAGCGCAAATTTGTGTTGATATTATAAAGACCAATTTAGCGGAGACTCTTGTGTTCAAAAAGATGCAATCCGGCATCTTTTGCTGACAGGTTAAGAAGATGCAGTCATCTTTGCTTAATCAGTTGAACCTAATTTTTTTATAATGAAAACATCCTATTATGCATGAATCATTGTATATGATGTTGTGGTTGCAGCTATCCTGTACAATAGGCTATATACAATACAGTAGATCTGTATTATCATAGTTATAATTTAACAAACCTTATTTCTGCGCAAATTGTACTGATTAGAACCGGCCAGCCAAATTGTGAAGTAGAATGTATATATCAAGAGAACGCAAAGTGAAACAGTATACAGTACACGAAATCTTTTTGTTTTAAAATCAGTTTGCAAACGCCAAAGCTAGCGCAAATTTGTGTTTATATTATAAAAACCAATTTAGTGGAGACTCTTGTGTTCAAAAAGATGCAGTCATCTTTTGCTGACAGGTTAAGAAGATGCAGTCATCTTTGCTTAATCAGTTGAACCTAATTGGTTATAATATAATAACACATCCTATTGTGCATGAATCATTGCATGTAGGCTATATGAAACTTGCGTTGCAGCTATACATACGGTAGCTATTATATTCTGTATTATCATAGTTATAATTCAACAAGTCTTATTTCTGCACGAATTTACTGACTATATAGAACTGGCCAGCCAAATAGAATGCATAGCTATATCAATCCTAGTAATCCATGTCACAGATGTTTTATTTCTTACCGACTTACCCGTCTTTCCCTAACCGGGGCATGTTTATCAAGAACAGTTAAAAAAGATTTTTCCAACATGCCCATTTATTATCAATAGCGGTTTCTCTTAACTAAATACCACGGTAAGTTTATAAGGTTGACTTTGAAATTCTCACCATTGAAATGCTTGAAACTTCGAAATTCGACTTTTTTGCTAGCGTGAGGTTTAAGATATGAATGAATTTTTCTTACTACATAAATTAAACTATGATCATTCACTCCCATATGAATTACATCATGAAATGCAATTCGCTCAGGACAGGAGGTAATACAAACGTCTAGTAACGTAGAATACGATTCAGTAATCCTTGTAGGCTTATCGATTACATGTGTAAGTTGAGAAAGTTGCATGATAGAATGTAAGTGTTTAGCAGAAGAGTTGGACTGGTCTAACAGATTACAGTTTAGATCTCCTAATAAATAAATTTCCTTATTCTCCTTATCGACATTCGTAAGCAAAGATTCAATTTGTGAGAAAGATTCGACGGTTGCTGACGGCGGACGATCGATAAATAGTAGAAACGATAAAGGAACGAGAGTTGGGCCGGTTAATTTCCAAACATACTGACTCTAAATTTTCCGGCACTAAATCGCCACGATTTAAATATGATATCATCCGCCTAATGTAAAAACAGACACCGCCACCGTGTTTGTCCCTATCCATGCGAACTATATCATATCCGTCAATATTAACAAATTCACTTGGAATATCAGGGTGAAGTCTTGTTTCATTGAGTGCCAGAATATCAACAGTCTGATTTTCTAACAATAAGCGAATTTCATCAATGTGTTTCGACAAACTGACAATATTCAGTAATGCAATCTTGAAACCCCCAAGATATGGTAACCTATTCGAATACAAAATTTCCTCCGAGTTAGTCTGACGGATGTCGCGTCAATTTAAAAAGTCCATATAGTTTCTTTTCATTATCGTGCTACCTCTGCGATTCAAGTGCAAACCTCCACGATTTAAACAATCTAAATCTATGTCAGTATGATTAATAAAGTCAACATTATTATCTGAGCAGAATTAATTAAGTAGGTTGTTTGTTTGTTTGATTAACTTTTGTTTGAATTGGATGACCATCTTTTCTGATGGTAAGAGCCGAGATGGCTACTTTGATTGATGGTAAGAGCCGAGATGTCGGGTTTGTCATGCTTAGCAGAACGTTAAACTAAGTGCATGTTAGAAATGTATATTTTATTTCTTTTCTACGCGTGGTTGGGAATCGTTTACAATCAATCTCTAATAACTTTCAGTTCTTAGTGTTCGTCTTCTTGCAGTAGTTTTCCAAGAGTTCACTCCAGTCTTCAACTGGCTTTCACTGTTCGTGATTTGTTCATTAATTTCTTCGTTATATCTTGTTTCGTTTGAGCTTTCTACAACTTTTCATACATAATTTTTACTTCACCCAAAAGGTGATACTTAAAGTCGAAATTACAGCAAACATTATTACAGTAATGAAATTGCTTAGCGTTCATTTTTTAGCTGAAATTCAGACCGTGTCGTTGAGGCGGCCGCGTCGTAGATCTTAAACTCTCTATTAGCGCGCTAGGGAGCTGGTTGGGATATAAAACTCAAGCACTATATATGGTAATGTTGGCCACGGCTTCCGCTTTGTTCAACTCTTACGATTTTTAATTTTTCCGGCGTGCCTAATAACTCGATTGAGCGCGCCGTAACATGAAGAAATTCTTATAAATGCGATGTAACTAAGCAGAGATCTTAAAATTTTACTACAGTGCAAAAGCAAATGAAATGTAACAAATATTGCTTTCCTGAGTAAGAAGTGCCAAAGCAGGACACTTTAAAATTATAGTATACTGAAAGGATAAACACATGAGCACTTACGCATCTTCCAATTGCAGCCTTCCATTTCGACTTAACTTCAGGTGACAAAATATATTAACTTCCGTTGAGACACTAAATAAACAGTAATGGGAATTAAACAATGAGCAGTGAGTAGTTCTTTTTAAATATTGACTTGATTTCGTATTGCAACGCTAATATAACTATGGACAACGGGTTGAGACACCCCATCAATGAAAGACTACGACCTCAACTATTGAGTTGGGCTTCGGCAGCGTGGCAGTTAGCGCACTTGACTCCCACTTCAAGGGAGTCAAAATCCCAGTGGGAACTTTCCCAATGCGACTCAGAAAGAACAAAAGCTAACGGTCAGCCTAAAGTCGTGGATATTCTCCGAGTACTCCGTTT